AGTCCTTTATATAACTTACATTCCCGTCAGGCTTGGATATGTCAATCCCTTTTTGAGAAATAGGGGGAAAAAACACTTAGTTTCAGCAACAAAATGATTATAAGCCCAATGTAAGTTACTCTGCAAAAAGCTAGAGTTTTTCACTCGAGCTGATATTTATTTGTTTATTGATACGAGATATTGAAAAACTCCCCACCCCCGTACTTAACCACCAAGCTACATCCCCCATCTTTTTTATTTTTTAAGACAAGGTCTCTTAAGTTCTTAGGCTGGCTTTGAACTTATGATCCTCCTGCTTCAAGCTGGTTTTTACTTGAAGTTTAGGATAATATTTATCTGAATATATCTTTCTGAAACCTTCTCTATACCAATTATAGCCTATCATTAAGAAGTAGTGAAAGAGCAGAGAAAAAGAAGCTACCATCTCTTGAGACTAAGAAGTAGGAGAATCAGGAAAAACTAGTACAGGGAAAGTAAAATTTTTAAAAAATATATATTATCTACTGGAAGCAGTGTTAAATTCATTTATTCAGTATTATTGCTGAATACCTACCTGGTATCAGACATTGTTGTAGATAATGGAAATTCTACTGAAAAAAAAAAACAGATGAAGTCCTTTCTTTTGTGCAAGTTGGTTGGGGGACAAAACAGTAATCAAATATATAAAATATTAGGTGGTCACATAAAGTGAATCAGGCATATGGTAGGAAGACTAGAGTTAGGAAGAGGGTAGTTTGTTATTTCTAAAAGATCACAAGGAAAGTCTCTGATGATAATAAAAAAAAATGGAGCAAAGACTGAAGGAAAGACCTAGGCCATGCAATATTTGGGGGAAGAGTATTCTAGATAGAGAGGAACAGCAAGTGCAGAGATTTTGAAGTAGAATTCTATTGGGTGTGTTCAAGTAACTTCAAAGAAAACAAGGTGTTTTAGTTGGCTTTTTCGCTGCTGCAACTAAAAGACTAGACTAGAACAATTGTAGAGCAAGAAAAGTTTCTTTGAGGGCTCACCGTTTCAAGAGGTCTCAGTCCATTGATAGCCGGTTCCGTTCCTCAGGGCTTGAGGTAGGCTGAACATCTTGGCAGAAGAGTGTGGTGGAGGAAAGTAGTTCATATAATGATCAGAAAGCAGGGATAGACTCCTCTGGCCAAATACAATATATACTTCAAAAGCATGCTCCTAGGGAACCATCCTCTCCAGCTACACCCTACCCCTCTTCAGTCTCCACCCAGTTAATTCCATCATGGGATTAATTTACATATTGGATTAGGGCTCTCAGCCCGGTCATTTCTCCTCTAAACCTTGCATTGTCTCACACCTAAGCTTTTAGGGGACATCTGACATCCATACTGTAACACAGGATGACTAGAGTTGAGTGAAACAAAGTGAGGAATGATAGATGAGATCAGAAAGATGACTGGGGCTAGACCATGGAGTAACTGGTGCACCATTGCTAAATTTGATTTAGACAATT